ACTAAATGAATCATTGTAAGTCGAGGACTACCTGTATTACATCAATGCAACATACATATAAATGCACAAATGTCATTTCATCCCCACCCTCTGAAATGACTCAACCCAGGAAATTCAGCCCCACCCTTTAGCCTCCATCCGATTCATAAAGACGCACACGTCTGGGCCGTTGTATTAATTTTAGGAAGAAATGCTCGAGATGTCTTTTCAGGTCTTTTTATTTAACTCCATAAATATTTTTTTCATAAGGCTCAGTGTCTTTACAACACTTTTTTTTTTAAAACACTGTTTTGATTTGTTTTTTTTTTGTTTTTTTTTTAATACACACAACTCCGACATTTGTTTGACAGGGTCAAACAATCCAATAAAAACAAAAGAATAGAACTGGCAACTGAGAATTAGCTGGGTTACCAAAATCCTTTGGACACGTAGAGCCTCCCCTGTAGAAAACGTTCAGCCCCAAATGAAGCATTTCCTCCCCTCCCCCACTCGCATTCCCTGGCATATGTTCCTCCATTCCAAGTGCAACGACTGTTATGTCCCCAAAAGCTCATTCTTTATTCTTCTCCAGGAAAAAGAAAATAGCCTGGTGGTGCCATGCAAAACTTACAATAGCTACTAAATATACATGTTCCCTGAAATGTAGCCGCAATGAAAAAGTAAGCATCAAAAGAGAACAAAATCAGAATCCGAAAGGATCACAAATGTACTATCAATAACACTGAAAAGGACAGCTACTGTCCATCCAAAAACTGAAACAAATTTCAAATATATGCTTTTTCTCTGTTTTTTTTTTCTCTCTCCTATATTTATTGTCTATTTACAACTGTTAAATGCACCTAGTTTTGGATTCTTGCTTTGTTTTTGTTTGCCTTAAATATTCAAGGAGAACGGGGGAAGCGGAGATCTTGAAAAGAAAATCTTGGTATCTGCAGTCAAGGGAAAATATTTCATCAGTCTACAGACGGAGGGTCACCTCCCTGTCTCTGTATCTAAAGTGTCAACATTCTTCCTTTCTGCTTAGACTCAGGCACGGCCAACGTCCTTCTTCAACAGATGCCTCCAGCTTCCTTTGGGCTTGGCACAGAAGTCAATGTTCAAGCAACCTGCCCAGGTGTCTGTCTGTCTGTCTCTTTCTCTCCCCCCCCCACTCCGGTGTTCCCTCCCCAAGTCCAATCAGATGTAGGCCTTCAAAGAAACAAGACGCTTCCGGTCCCAACAGGTCTCCTGGTCCAGAATGCTGGGTCGTGGGGGACTCCAACCCATCATTGTTTGTGGGAAGTTAAGCTTCGGTCCTCATAGCACCTTGTACAGGAAGGAGGTGTGTTTCTGCCGGATGAGTTAGGGGAGCGGAGTGCACAGACTCTCTTGCTCAGGAACAAATGCCAGCATCTCTCTTACCTTGCCCATGTCTCAGTCCAGCCCTTTCCCCTTCCTTGTCATTCACTTCCCCCCTCCCTGTATTTAGAAAGAAGCTGCCGGTCCAACATGGTTCTTGCCAGACCATGTTAGTCTTGATTTATGATGGAACTAAGGAGGTGATCAATGGTGGTTTCCTTGTTTTTCCTAAGGTTGAATTTTTTAGGAAGCATCTTCAGATAAAAATAATGGAGGTTTCACTTGCGCTCTCTGAGGCATAAAACAGCAAATGAAAAGGCTTAACTAACACTCTTGGTACCTCCCAATAAATAAGCAGGCAAAGAAGTAAGAAAACAAAGGTGTCCATTGCATTGTTCCCAATTCCCTGGCATTTTTCCTCTTCTACTTCTTCTTTCCCTCTCTCTTTTTCTCCATTTGTAGCATGGTGCAAGTGCCACTCTACAAAGCCTTGGCAAGACCATACTTGGAAAACTGCATCCAGTTCTGGTCACCCCAATACAAAAAATTAGTTGAGACTTTGGAAAGAGTGCAGAGAAGAATGGCAAAAATGATTAAGGGCCTGGAGGCTAAAACATATGATGAACGGTTACAGGATTGGGGTATGCCTAGTCTAGTGAAAAGAAGCACTAGGGTTGATGTGATAGCAGCCTTCCAATACTTGAAGGGCTGCTACAAGGAAGAGGGGGGCCAACTTATTTTCCAAAGCAAGAAAAGGCAAGACGAGAAACAATGGATGGAAACTAACCAAGGAGAGAAGCAACTTACAACTAAGGAGAAAATTCCTGATGGTGAGAACAATTAACTGGGGGAACAAATTGCTTTCAGAAATTGTGGGTGCCCCAACACTGGAGGCTTTTAAGAAGAGACTGGACAGCCATCTATCAGAAATAGTATAGATCTCCTGCAAGAGCAGCGGCTTGGATTAGATAACCTCCAAAGTTCTTTTCCAACGCTGTTATTGTTACTATTTACAGTAATGGAGGCTATTCCATTCTTAAAGCGTCTACCCATCTCAACAGGTCAATGCATAAAGCAAAGGCAAGTCATAAAAATGGAGTTGTGGAAAACTCAAGTGTGGGTATTCTAAAAGCAGGACACAAAACGTTTGCCCCTTTATCATTTATCTGGGTAAGAAATCTGTCCAAAATGTTGCTCCTGTTGGCATAAACATGAAATCAGCAGGAACCAGGGAATTCCTCCTGTTTAAAGAGGCAGCCAGGTTTTCCTGCTGTGCCTGAATATCCACAAAAGGAACTGTAACCACTCAGGAATGAAAAGAAGTGTGGTTGCTTTGCTTTCATTTTTCAAAGGGTTTCTTTAACAAAGTCAATTCAAGCTAAGCAAGAGAGACAAGAGCTTTACTTAATGCAACCTCTGAGCATCTTCCTTCTCATTCTGTTTCCCCTGGTAACATTTGGAAGCTAAAATATATGATGGAATATTCTCTTAGCTGACAGCAAGCAAGGAACAAACTCCAGAATAATACGACTGGCATCTTGTCATCCATGTTGGTTTACAAAAGGGACATAAAAGGCAAATTCCACCTTAGCTCATTTAAAAATTTGGCAACTTGTTTTGATACATATCTAGGGAATTTAGGGGGGTGTTTTAATACACACAAACCATATTTTCAATGCCCAGGATGCAGAAGGCAGCAAGGGAGTGATGCAAAAGTGACATAAATTGTTCCTTTATGTATGGTGAGCCCCTTATTTCCCTAGAAAACCATGAGAAATCACACCACAAATTCTACCAGTGGGGTTCAAGGGGGTCTCAAAGCAGGGAGTGACCTGATGCTCCCTGTCTAATTAAATGTGTTTAATAGAGATTAAACACCAGAAAGCAAAACAAGAACCAATGGATGGAAACAACCTAGAACTAAGGAGAAATTTCCTGACAATTAGAAAAATTAACCAGTGAAATGGTTTGCCTTCAGAAGTTGCAGGTTCTCCATCACTGGAGATTTTTAAGATGAGACTGGACCGCCATTGGTCTGGAATAGTATAGGGTCTCTTGCTTGTGCAGGGGGTTGGACTAGAAGACCTCCAAGGTCCCTTCCAGCTCTGTTATTCTGAGATAGTGCAGTATAATTGGGGGAATATAACGCTAATGGATCATTGGAAAAAATCACTGGAGCTTTTCAAAAATAGACTGGAGAACCATTTGACTGGGATGGTATAAGGCCTTGAGCAGAGGGTTGGACTAGCAGACCTCTCAGGTCCCTTCCAGCCCTATGATTCTATGCATAAATATATTTTCTAAAAAAAAATAAAGTACATTCCATAGGGCACAAAAATGGGACTGCTGGCAACTCCTTCCCCAATATATATTTTAGGATCCTGGAGTGGGTGGGGTTAAATATTTGGGTAATTTTATCCATTTGGGCCACAGCAGGTGAGTTAAGAGGCAAAACTCTCAAGACTGGGGATTTCTTGGCAGTGTTTCCTGTTTGCTGAGCAATGGCTACAACAACTCGTCATGACCGACTTGCCATGGGGCAAGAGTTACACTAGCATGGAAGAAATACCGTATTTTCCGGCGTATAAGACGACTTTTTAACACATGAAAATCTTCTCAAAAGTCGGGGTCGTCTTATACGCCGGGTGTAGTTCTCCTGTAACCAGGCAGACCAGCCCGAAAGGCTCTGACGAGCCTTAAATGGCTCTGGCGATCCCAGCTCTGATGATCCCAGCTGAGTTCCCTGCAACTCAGCTGGGATCGCCAGAAACCACGTAAAAGGAAAAAAGTTTTTTCCCTTTTACTCTGAGGATCCCAGCTCTGACGATCCCAGCTGAGTTCCCTGCAACTCAGCTGGGATGGCCAGAGCCATGTAAAAGGGAAAAAGTTTTCCCCCTCCAGCTTGCTTACCTCAGCTGCTAGTCACAACGCTTGCATTCAGGAATCTATTCAGGCAAGCAAGCAACTCCCTGCCTGCAATCAAGCAAGGAGTTAGTTGTGGACTTCAACTCCCAGAATTCCTCAGCCAGCAAAGCAAAGCTGGCTGAGGAATTCTGGGAGTTGAAGTCTACAAGTCTTAAAGTTGCCAAGGTTGGAGACCCCTGTTCTATTGGGTAAGTTTTTTTCCCCTTTGGGAGCTTTAAAAAAAATAGTCAATTGGGGTTTTTTTAGTTGTTCTTTTTTAGACCTAGCCATTTAAAGTTTAGGAAGTTTTAAATTTAGCTTTCATATAAAAATAAAAATAAAATAAAATAAAACAATATTTGTGCAGCTTTCTGAGATTTAGTGTGTTTCTGTAGTGTTTCACTCCAACTACACAAACACACAAAATCTCACAAAGCTGTATGTGGAATTTTGTGTGTGTAAAGTGTGAAAGTTGGTTTTTTGGACTTTTTGTGGCTGTGTGAGGTTCCTGCTTGTTGCAGGGGCCATTTTGGGTCTAGCACAGCTGCTTTTACATTGTAGGTGAGCCAGTTGATGTTTTTTAATTTTTATTTGGTGTGCATTGGAAGAGGGGCAGTCTTATATGGCGAGTATAGCCCAAACCCTATATTTTAACAGGAAAAGTTGGGGGTCGTCTTATACGCCCAGTCGTCTTATACGCCGGAAAATACGGTAGTTGAACAAATCGTTAAAGAAAGGATGCCAAAGGAGGGACAAAATAAATGTGAATGACAAAATTTAAATGATAAAAATGACAAAAAAAATGACAAAAATTAAAATATTTTTGTAATTGTTTTAAATAATTAAATTGAATTGTTGAGTTGGCCTGGTGAGTTGGCCGTGGCAAGTTGTCCCATTTTGAACTTCACCAAGTCTCTCTGACTACTAGTTCCTGACATTTTGTGATCCAAAGGATGTTTATGAAATGCATCCTTTGCAAATGAGTTGGCTTTTTTGGACATGCAGCATTAAACCTTATTCCGTAATACTGCATACCTTTCTGATAAGGACAAGGTTTGAGATTATGGAGCCAATGATCCCCAGACTAAGAGCTCATTATTACTGGCCTATGGTGTGCTTGGATGTTGGCCATAATTTTAGGACCCGACTCCTTGGGCCAACTGACCAGAATTCTGAGAATCAGTTTAGCGCTTAAGCTGGGATATGTGGACTTTCCATACATTTTTTGAAACTATGCAGGAAAGGTTTAGGCTTTTGCAATGAGCTCTACCAAAAATAAAATATAAAAACGAAATGGATCAAATCCCCAAAGAATGTGTAACTGAAATGGGAATAACTTAATTGGTTGTGCTGGGGAATGGAGGAGTCCCACAGAAGAAAGGGAAGTGATTGCAATTAAAATGACCGCATCAACAGCAGCCAAAGGCATACTTTCTTGCATAATAAAAATTCATATACTATCTCTTCCCACCCGCACTCGGATACAGTTGCCTGGGCGCTTCTGAGCTGCAATCCCTGTTTTCCAGATAATTTGCAGAGCTGAAGAACCACAGAGCTGGTGTGCCTCTACCAACTGCATTCAAAGCAACACAAGTATCATTTGCACAGTACAAAGGAGCATTGGATCAGAACCAAAGAATATGGGGCACAAATTGCAGCTCATTCCAAACAACCAAATTGAGCCGACCCTGAACATTCATTGCTGGCGAGGTAGTTGCTCCAGCCAAGCTCTTTCCAGAGGAACAAATGAGAATTCAATCCTTCTCTCCCTGGGTCTCTGACAGGCTCCATCCATGGCGCTCTGAGAGAAAGGGATATAGGAGAGGAGGGGGTTTAAACAGCTCTCCCTGCACCCAGATGCTTTTAGAAGACAGTTTTTGTAAATGAAATCTCAAAACAAATATGCACCTCGCTGGCCCTGGATGGAACCTGTCAAAGGCAGAGCACAAGGCAAATATGAATCATTCTGGAACACCATTTCTGTAGCAAAAAAACTTCAAGAACAAATTTTAACAACATTTCCAAAGATGTCAAAATAAAGAAAGTTACATGGTTCGAAATACTTGGTGCTTCCTAAAATAATGCAGCAGATACTATTTTTTCCCTAAAACAAGTATAACAAAAAATGTTTTTGGTCCTTCAAAATTTCATTCATATATATCTATATCTATATCTATATATATATATATGAAATTTCATTCATATATATATATAATGTTAAGTTTCAACAGTGCTTCTCCAAAAAAGGTCCATCTATAAATATATTTTTTATTCATTTTTAAATTTTTTTTTAAACTTTATTTTAAAACTCTTCCCCTCACTCTATATATTATTTTTTGAATGGCGTTAATCTGCTGAAGTTTTGCCAGAACGGTGACTGGCTACGTTTCGGTTCGGTGAACTCATAGACCTGCGGTTGGACTATGCCGTCGGTTACCAAGTATTGTCCCTGATTTAGTGGCTCCTGGGGTGGTGGGTATGTCGGAGGAACGGATCGGGAGTAGCTGACGCCTGGATGGGAGGTGGAGAAGAAAAGAGAGGGAGGAGAAATGAGGAAGGAGAAGAAAAAGAAGTCCATCTTAATGCAAGGATTAAACGGAAACACAAATTTATCTTTCTCAATTTCCCAAAATTGGACATTAAGGGATGCAGTAGGACCTGGCACGGTTACTTTCTCTCTTCCTGGTGGCAGTTCCTTGAAGAAGCCATGACCTTTCCCTGAATCTGAATGTTGCTTTTTCAAAGAAATGCCAACCCAACAACCCTGCCAGATGCAAAGCCTGCTTTTGGACCCCAATATCCCACTAAAACTTAATGATGACCCACAGCCCCTCCAAAAGTTGCCAATCTAATGTGACCAAAGTGGGGAATTAGTCAAGCAAATATGAGATACAGGTAGTCCTCGACTTATCACCACAATCAAACCCATTTTTTTGTTTCTAAGCAAGACATTTCTTAAGTGAGTTTTGCCCCATTTTACGACCTTTCTTGCAACAGTGAATCACTGCAGCTGTTAAGTTAGTAACACGGTTGTTAAGTGAATCTGGCTTCCCCATTGATTTTCCTTGTCAGGTCACAAAAGGTGACACATGACCTCGGGACACTGCAACCATCGTAAATGTGAACCAGTTGCCAAACTTTTTGATCATGTGACCATGGGGATCCTGCAATGGTCATAAGTGTGAAAAATAGTCATAAGTCACTTTTTTCAGTGCCGTTGTAACTTTGAATGGTCCACTAAATGAACCGTTATAAGTCAAGAACTGTCTGTACTATCAAGGGAAATATTTGCAAACGCCAATTATTATAAGTTGAAATTAAATCAAGTCTTGTTTCTGTCCTGACCACACCGACCTCTTGGTTTCTGGTCTCATGCATCTCTGGGACTGTTGCCCCAAGCACACTGCTCAAGTGGTACTTATACGTTGGTCCTAAGAGAGTATCACATTCTCCTCTTCTACGTTCAAGAAATCAGGGCACCATTACAGAGAATGCAAAAGCCAGAATGGTTCTGAGAGATTCCTGCTGAATTATAACCTACATTAGCTGCCTTATAGCAAAACAGATCATTAGACCAATAGCAATGATTGTCTCAGGAGCCTTGGGAAGCCTTTTGAGGGCCTGAGACTGAACTAACATGGTTTCATGTCAACTCTGTGCTCCCTGAGCTGTTGTCCTGCCAGGACTAAATGAAGAAGCAGAAAGCGTGGAAGATAATAAAGGAGGTTGAACGAAATGAGAGAAAGCAGCCAAGTCAATCCGCTATGAAGACAGACGCACCAAGCGCAGTTATGGGTAAGAGATAAACCCCATAAAACCATTCACGCTATAGCTCCAAAGGGAGCCATGTTCCCGTGAAATGTGTATAAACAGATGCATAAATAAGTTAATGGGCATAAACAAATTTACAGTACTGATAGAAGAAAACATTGCTAGCTCAGGGTTGAACTTTGGGGTCCTTGGTGCTTTTTAAATTATTATTATATTTTTGCAGATGTTTCATTACCCGAACAGGTGACATCATCAGTGCTAGAAGAGAGTGGGGTTTGCCCTGCCAGTGTTTGTTGGAATGTTCCTGGTGGTTTCTTGATTAGGCTATTGTTTAAGTATGCAAACAGAGTATAAACTTCACTTCCTTCTAGCCATGATGATGTTACCTGGTTGGGTAATGAAATGTCTGAAAAACAACCAAGTTTAGAGAGCTCCATGGACCCCACAGATTTACAGTATGGGAAAGTCTTTACATGTTAAAGATTATTAATTTCAAAGCTTTGGAATTTTATTGCATCAGAAATTATGGTTGTATCTTTACAGATGCGGGCAGATGGCAACTGAAGACATTAGAGACACTGTTGGAAGAAGGGATTAATCTAACTTGGTTACAGTATAATCAACTTCAACTGAGATGGAAAGAGGACCAAAAAACTGGTATTATGTTGCACGAGGAAGAATTGGTTAGACATATAAAAGAGAAAGGTCCAATGCATATTAAAAGGCTTTATGTTTTGTTAGAAAGGGATTCAGAAACTGAATTGGTTAAAGATTGTATGATTAAGTGGGCACAAAATTTTGCAGAACCAGTGATGTTGGAAACATGGGAAAAAATTTGGGTCCAGAATGTTAAATTCACACAGTCGCAGAATTTGAGGGAAAATTTTTATAAAATGTTTTATAGATGGCATTTAGATCCTAAGAAATTGTCGTGCATGTACCCTAATGTTCAACCAAAATGTTGGAGATGTGACTGCTTAGATGCTACATATTACCATGTTTGGTGGACCTGTAAGAAAGTGAAAGCTTTTTGGATAAAAATTTGGTGGGTCATGCAGAATGTTTTGAAGAAAAAAATTCAGTTTTCTCCACAATTGTTTTTATTGGGTATAGTTAAGGGTTTTACATTGGGTGAAATAAAGTTGATATTGTATATGATAACAGCAGCGAGATTACTGATAGGTCAATACTGGAAAAATGAAGCTATGCCCACTATCGAGGAATGGACTTTGAAGATGGCCAGCTTTGCAGAGATGGCGAAGATTTCAGCATATCTAAAAGATCGCTCACAAGAGACTTATGAATGGGAGTGGAAAAAGTGGATAGATTATGTTTAGAACAAATATCAAACTAGGAAGTATCAGATAGCTTTTAATTGAAAGTGTTATATAAAGATAGAAATATTTGAATTTTGTGAAGATGGAAAAATATATTGGGGGTGGAGGGGTTCAAGTTTTATAAAAAGGGGATTTTGATTTGGATTATATTCTGTGGAAGTCCGGGGGGGAGGGGTGGGTTAGGGGGGGTTAGGGAGGTTAGGGAAGTTAGGGAGGGTTTGGGGGGGGGGGGAATGGGGAGAAAATGTAATTGTAAAACTTTTCCAATAAAAAAAAATATGTATCGAATATGGGAGGTGGCTAAAAGAATATAGAGGAATATTAGTGTATTCATTAATCAATGACTGACAGTTGATAAATATAAAATATAAGGTATATCCCCCCAATCTTCTTCCTGCTCTTCTCTTTTAGGTAGCATTTTTAGTTTGTTGGAAGTCGTCTCTTTTCTTTTTTAAAGTTTAAAGATTTTTGTCATTTGTGTAAATAAATAGAACATAGAATCATGGGGCTGGGACCTATATCCTGTTGAATCAGGCTAAAAGTAAAACTCCACATGTTTTCATTATGTCCCCAGAGTGGTTTGACAGACACATTTGGAAAACAAAATGTCAGTCCATTTCCCTGCGACTGCATTGATAGACTTTCTGCCTCCATTAGGAAGATCATACATGGTAGCCAGTTTGACAAATTGCCACTAATAACCTTAATCCCTGGGATTTTTTCTAATCCCCATGAAAGCCACCCAAGATGTTGGCCACTACATCCGGTGGTAGCAAATTCCATATATTATCTATGCACTGAACCCCAGTTGATCTGGTTAATAAAACATAGGGGAATCTATCCATCCTACCAGATCAGACAGGGTGGGCACCCTTCCCCTAAATATTGCCATCTGATGGGATCTAGGAAGTGTGGCTTTTCTGTGGCAGCCGCTGCCTTATGGGACCTTCTACAGCCCGAAGCTCAGCAGACCTCCACTCTCCTAGCCTTCTGTAAGGCTTTGGTTGAAAACCTGGTTTCCCTCCATGTGCTGGGTTTGGATAATTGTACATTAAAAGGTCGACTTGACACTAAATGTCCCAAAGTTCAGCTGTCAGCTGGACTGCCAGTCAACTGGACTTTCTTGGTTTTTTCCTGAACTGGGGTGAACTGGTAGAAACCCACCCTGCTCCAAGGCCCCTTCCAACTCTGCTCTGCTCTGCTCTGCTATTCTATGAACTAGATCAAGACCCAGCGTTATTCTAAGCCAGAGGTCTTCAAACTTGGCAGCTTGAAGACTTGCGGACTTCAACTCCCAGAATTCTCCAGACAGCTATGAGTTGAAATCCAGAAGTCTTCAAGCTGCCAAGTTTGAAGACCTCTGTTCTAAGCTTTGGCCATGAAACATAGAAAACTGACTGCAGAAAAAGACCCTGTGGTCCATCATAACTGCCCTTTGAGTTTTTTGGTTGGTTGTATTTTCTTTTTAATTTATTTATTTTAATTTATTTATCTTATTATTTTTTATATTTGTGTTGTTTATGTAGAGGCACAGGCTTCGAATGTTGAGAAAGCCTGACCTAGAATGACAGCTCTTTCTCCTTTGAGAGAGTTCAGAGGTGGGACTGGTAAAGTTAAGCTCTTGTGCAGCTGGTCTGGCTTACCAACCAGAGTTTACCACTCTGGTTGGTAAACAATTTCCTGACCATGAGAACAATTAATCAATGAGGAACAGCTTTGCCTCCCAGAATTGTGGGTGCTCAAGAAAAGATTGGGCAAGATTTGTCTGGGATGGTTTGAGGGCTCCTGCCTTGGGCAAAGGATTGGACTAAAAGACCTCAACAGTTCCCTCCAAGCCTATGATTCTATGAAACAGAGATTTACCCAAAATTCAGTAACAGAATCTGCCTGGCCATGCAACTCCAGAATAGGAAGCATTTCTTGTTTCATTGCAATTTTTATGGGGATCTGCTATGAAGATTGTACAGTATAAAAAGGTAGTCCTTGACTTATGACCACAAAGCCCAAAGTATTGATTGCTAAGTGAGACATTTGTTAAGTGAGTTTTCTCCATTTTATGACATTTCTTGCCACAGTTGTTAAGTGAATCACTGCAGGTGTTAGTAACACAGTTAGTAACACAGTTCCTAAGTGAATCTGGCTTCCTCATTGACTTCGCTTGTCAGGTCACAAAAGGGGATCACGTGATCCTAGGACACTGCAACTGTCATAAATAGGAGTCAGTTGCCAAGCGTCTGGATTGTGATCACATGACCATGGGGATGCTGAAATGGTCGTAACTGTGAAAAATGGTCATAAGTCACTCTTTTCAGTTATGCTGTAACTTTGAACCATCACTAAATGAACTGTTGTAAGCCGAGGACCACCTGTATTACCCCTGCTGTGAAGTCTCCCAAGGTGGAAAGAACAGCACAGACATCCTTAAGCTACTAAATTTTTTATGGCTGCAATGAAAACACACCAACAGTTAGTGCAAATATGATAAATTGGCCATTCTGGACTAATGTGATTAATTGATTATTATTTTTCTTTCTGGCTTTATTTTCTTTGATATGCTGATCTTTGCTCATCATCATATATTTGATTTGTCTTTAATCACTTCCATATTCATGACTTCAATTCCAAAAAAAAGCTACTTGACTTTACACCATTGAATTCACCAAAATTGAAAAGACAAGAATGACTTTTCTGAAAGGCAATTTCCAATTGTTCAAAAACAGCCAAGGCTGCACAAGGAAGGGATGGGAAGATGGTGGTGATAGAAATCAATTTATATTCAGAGAAGTCTAGTTCAATAAGACACCACCGTTTTCCAAGGGGTCCACAGAGATACCGAGATAATCAGAGAGCAATTGCTAAGTTAAGCAGATAAATGCAATTAAGTACTCAATATTTCTCTGGATGAAGGTGTAAAACAGCCTTACTTATCTGATGCCCTTGAGAAGACAGGAACTCTACCTCCCATCAATCTCAGCTAGCCTATCATTTGCAAGACTTACAAAGATCAAGAGGATTGTTGTCCATTATGTCTGGAGAACAGTGTATTGTAGAAAACTGGTTTGAAGTCAACCGGCAACCTGAATTGTGTCGGGCCATTTAAATTATGTTAGGCAAAATCTGAACGTTTTTCCGAATGTGAACTGTCTTCTCATACACGAGATTCTTTTGTGCCTTCTTAATCCATTTCTTTAATCTTACACCACTGCAGAAATGTGTCCATTTGAAGGCCATGCAAGGTTTCTGTGGTACTTTGAAGACAGCAATCCAAAACTGGAAAGTTTCAAGGGGTTTAAGAGGTAAAACGAATACTGGAGATCTTAAGGTACCAATATTGCCCTTCAACCTCCACTCCCCAAATAAACAAAGGGCTAAACATGTTGGTGCCATTTGACTTGCTCCATTTATCCAGAGCGCCATCTGATTCTAAGCATCAGGAAACCATATCATAGCCATATCAGCAGAGGTGGGATTCAGCCAGTTCTGACCGGTTCAGGTGTATCGGTAGCTCTGACGATCAGCTGAGAGCAAACTGGTTTGCTCTGGCGATCAGATGGGCCTGCCCGCCTGCCCCTGCGCTATAACCTACCTATATTTCTTTTGCTTTAAGCCCAGCTGATAGGTGTGGCAGAGCGGATTGCTGCGACTCAGCTGTTTTGCTCACTCTGGATTCAGCAGAAGGTAACTTTCTATTGTAATGTGCATGCACGGAATAACAAGTTTGGCAGCGAACTGGTTGTTACAACTGGTGAATCCCACCACTGCATATCACAAGTTAAGAGTAGCCAAGCTATGGCACAATTTGATCCATTGTTGACCAGACCAGAAAGAATTTAGTCCCAATTTGCTAGCCCAACTATCTAGAGAGACAAAGACAAAAAGACAATTAGATGGTATATGGCTGATGGGAACCTTGCCAGATCTTAGAACTGGAGGGTTATTTAATGGAGGCAGCTTTGTTTGCCTGTCAGAGATTGTAGATTCTTCCATTACAATGGATCAAGGGGTTGCCTGCTCTCTTGCTGGGAGCTCGGGGGAGACATAGCGATTGTCCAATTCTCACAAATGCTGAGCTTGGCAGTCCGTCATCTGCTCTGCTGTAAGGCAGCTTCTGGTGGCTTCACCTGCCCTGCAGGAGGTGACCAACCCTTGTCTGGCATCTCTTCTCCTGTGTTTCTCACGAAATAATCAATTGTCCAATAGACAGTTCAGTCTATTTATTTACTTCTGGATTTACTCCTGCCTTTGGGACTGGAAGGTGGGCACAGGACTCCCTCCTCCCATTTCCCCCCACGATATCTAGGTCTAGGAAGTAGGCTGGGCTGGGCTGAGAGAGGGTCTCCATGGCTGAGGGGAGCTTAGTTTGTCCCTCTCTTAGTCCAACACTTTCACCACTACACCAAGCTGGCTCTCGGGCTACGTGAGGGGAACTGGCCCAAAGTCACTCCAGGGGTTTCCATGGCGTGGGGACCAGAACTTGGGTCTCCTCACTCCTAGTCCAACATCTTCACACAACATCATTGAGGATACATGTTTTCCTATGCAGGGGTCCTTGGTGCTCTCTGAGCTTGGTTGTTTTTTTGCAGATGGTTCATCACCCAAACTAGGCAACCTCATCAGTTCTAGAAGGGAGGGGGTTTGCTGAGAGGTGGGAGGAGGAAGAGGAAGAGAACGGGTCCTTGGTGCTCTCTGAGCTTGGTTGTTTTCTTGCAGATGGTTCATTACCCAAACTAGGCAACCTCATCAGAACTAGGGTTGAGTAACTGACTAGTGCTGATGATGTTATCTAATTTAGGTAACGAAACATCTGCAAGACAAGCACCGAGCTCAGAGAGCACCAAGGACCTCTCATTTCAACCCTATGTTACAAATATTCTTCTTTATTGGCTTTCCTATGCATTTATGCATACTGTAATATGCAACCAGCAACAGCTCCCCATCGTCCGGTGCGTTCTCACAGGGAGGGCCTACTCAGGGTATCGTAGGCTAGACAATGTTGGCTGGCGACCCCCAGAGGTAGAGCTTTCTCTGTGGGCGCACCCACCCTTTGGAATCAACTCCCCCGGGGGCTCCGGTTGGCCCCTGACCTTCGCACTTTCCGCCACGAACTAAAAACATGGCTGTTTAAATTGCCCAGCTGGACCGATGGGGTTTTGATTTTAATGTATTTTAATATGCGTTTAATATGTATTTTAACATATTTCATACTTGGATTGAGATTGTGTATCTTAATTGTTGTGAGCCGCCCTGAGTCCTATGGAGATAGGGCGGCATATAAATCTAAATCTAACAATGATCTGGGACAGCCTTCTCCAACCTGACCTTCTCCAGATGCAGCAGCTGTACAATTCCTAAAACATCCGCCCAACAACTTGGGAACTGAAGTCTCACCTACATATTGGGTTAAGCCAGGGGTGAAATCCAAATTTTTTCTCTACTGGTTCTGTGGGCCTGGCTTGGTGGGCGTGGCAGGAGAAGGATATTGCAAAATCTCCATTCCCACCCCACTCTGGGGTCAGCTAGAGGTGGTATTTGCCAGTTCTCCGAACTACTCAAAATTTCCGCCACTGGTTCTCCAGAACCTATTAGAACCTGCTGGATTTCACCCCCAGGTTAAGCCATGACTGAGGAACACACCCAGCCCCCACTGGCCCATCCCCCACAGTTTCCCCCCCACCCCCACCCCAGCTGGCCTGCTTCTCTGGGACTTGGATCACATGAGGTCCGCTCTTAATGCCCCACACGGTCTCTTGGTTACCATAGTGACTGGGACTGCCATCCCTAAGCAATGGGGTCACAGGCCTTCGTGTTTGACAACCATGTTACTTAGTGATGGAAATTCTGGGCTCAACTGCCGTCATAACCTGTAGGCAGTAAAAGGTGCACAGAAGAAAGGACAGGACAGGAAAAGGGAGGCAGCACTGAGAGGGAGGAACAGAAGGGAAAGAGGTGGCTGTCGGCCAGCTGCCATCCACTCACTGCGCACAACACACGGAGGGCATTACCTTTCTGCTTACTGACTTTTCTTACGGTCATGGCTGCTTGTCGTTTCTGGTTCTCAGAAATTTCAAAGCCTGGAGTGGGAAGAGGAGAGGGGGGAGAGTGAACGCTCTTCTCACCTGGATTTCCTGAAGGCTTGAAGAGAAGGATTAATCAAACAGGCCTGATTATGCCCTCATTTTTTCTCTCCTTCCTTCCTTCCTTCCTTCTTTCCTTCCTTCCTTTTTCCTCTGCTGCCATTTTCTCCCTCCGTTCCTCGCTCCCTCCCTTCTTCCTTCACCCCTCCATTTTCATTCCTCATGCTAGTTCCCACCCCCACCGTGCATTTTGTACACACATAGTTTTTTTATGCACTCTTCCCCTGTACCCACATGCACATTTGTAGATAGCCACGTTGTTTGCAAGTCAACCTTTTTCGTAGAAAACTTTTTGTTCCACAGTTTTGGTGTGGTTTCTCTCCCCCCACCTTTTCTGGGCACTGCTTTGTAGTACCTATATGCTTCCTAGGGCTGCTTTGGCTTTGTGTGCTGTCGTGCATAACTGAATTTTGCCATTAGTGCATAAGTGCAAGAATACCCCCTTCTGTTCCTAGAGTCATTTCACCAACTCGCTCTTCTCCATAATTTATAGAGCACATTCTCCTTCGTCAAATGACCTGAGATATCACAAGTTCATGTCCTGGTTTGGAAATTGCAAAGTGGATGCATTTTTATGCAAATGCAAACTAATGGAATTGTTCTTTCATCCAGTCAGTCAGTTTGATGTGTAAACCCTCCTTGAAGAGACAACCAGTTCCATTTTCTGAAATGCTTGCCAGCCACATGACTACTGCGTCCAACCCCTGGCTCCTTTAGACAAGTTGGGGCTAAACTCTTAAGATTTCCCATCAGTGTAGCGGGATGGCTGGGAATTTGGGGAGCCCTGTCATACCTTGAAGATCTACATTGGGAAATTAAAGAAACAATACCTTCCTATCCTTTGAAGGGCACCAAGCAAAAGTTTGATACTCTCTTCAAAGCCTCTTTGCTCCACTCTGTTTTACAGTCAGCCATGTTGCTCCTTTGAAGGCAGCACAAGCATTTCCTTTGACTGGAGCCCATGTGAAGAAAGACAGATTTGGGAACAAAAGTAGGCTTTTCTATATGAGGAGCCATGGTGGTTAGAATGCAGTATTGCAGGCTCATTCTGCCCACTACCAGGAGTTCAATCCTGACAGGCTCAAGGTTGACTTAGCCTTCCATCCTTCCGAGGTCAGTAAAATGAGGACCCAGATTGTTGGGGGCAAAAGGCTGACTCTGCAAACCGCTTAGAGAGGGCTGTCAAGCACTGTGAAACAGTTTATAAGTGCTATTGCAGGTTAACTCTGCCCAGAGCCTGGAGTTTGATCCTGACAAGGTGAAGGTTGACTCAGCCTTTCACCCTTCCGAGGTCAGTAAAATGAGGACCCAGTTTACTGAGACAATACACTGACATTGTAAAGCACTATGGGGTAGTGTATACATCTATATGCTATTGCAATCATGCAAGGAAAAACACATGGTTGCAGTTCCACATTGCAAGAATGGATAATAAGGAAGGGCTAGTGCAACCTGTTGGTTCTTCTTTTTCCCGATGGATTTGGAAGCCAATGGACAAATGGGGCAACAGGAGGCCAACACTCAATAGCTGACCAGGAAGGAAGAAGGATTCCTGATCTCTATTTATTTACATATCATGCATGGACTGGCAATGCATGTTAACATTTCACTTAGATTTAGTAAAACACAATAAAATATAAATGTTAAAAAGATCTATTTTCAAATACCAATGTCTAGGCTATCTAACTACTGAAATGCAGCATCATTTATATTTTTAAAAACTCAGCTATTGGGTCCGATATATGCCCTCATCTACAACCGATCATGATCTGATCTACCATTTGATATGGGACCCCCAGTCACACCGAGGGGAGGATGCTAGACCCTGTTTATACAGAGAATCCTGGCAGATGTTGTGTGAGGTGCAAATCCTATTCCTGAGCTCTAAGCCCCACCTGCTTAGAACCTCATGTCTTACCTATCTTCTCATCTTCTTGCACCATCTTTCGCTCCTCGCGGAAAGCTCTGAGCCACCTCAATTTCTCTTCCAGCTTCTTGGCAAAAAACAAATGCATTTCCTCAGTCTCCTTATTATGCAGCTTGAAAGCATTCTTCATGCTCACATTGAAGTCATCGTCCCGTCCATCTTCAATATCCAAAACTTCATAGCGGTCCATATCAATCCGTCCTTTGTAGTACAAGATGTCTCTTCTTATCAGATCCTGCAGGAAAACAAACATTATCGAGACAGCCATTCAAACCTGTGTCATGTTTAAAACTCTGATTTCATCTTCTCAGGAGAAGTGAACACAATCGCTGGAATGCAAAGGCTATTCATTAAGATGGCTAGAAAGAACCAACCCTGGATGGAACCAACGGACGAGATGGCACCTGGGTTAGACGAAAGCTGGGAAGAATGGAAATTGTTGAATAGAGAGACACTCTGAACAAATGGGGATATCCAGTGGCTTCTGCCCTTTGTGATTGTGGTGACATGCAGACAACAACACATATGTATACCTGCCCTTTGTGTCCCGATCAGAGTACACTTGAGGGCCTCATGACAGTAAGACAGAACTAATTAATGTTGTTCATTTCTGGGGAAGATCTGTTTAATTATACATATTCCAATCTTGTGTTTTATATTTTAAATTTTATCTTGTAAAGTATTTTAATTGTGATGCTTCTGACACAAATAAACCATTGTTGTGGCCCGTACGTGGCCTCTGCAGCTAGTGCTGATTCCGACAGCGAGGAGGCTGGTATGATGCTGCGCCAGCAGCCTGTGCAGCTGGCACTCGAGTCGGACAATGAGGAGGCTGGAGAAGATGTGGTGCCAGAGGCGGGGATTCAGCCAGGGCCTTCAGAACCTCCAGAAGCTCCCATAAGTGAAGAGGAAGAAGAGGAGGAGCCTCTTCTCGATGCACGGGCACGCAGAGCTGCCAAAAGGCAGGAGTGGCTCCTCAGGAGGAGGTCTCCTCGAGAGTAAGGCTTGGGACTAATTGGCCACTCCCTTAGCCTATTTAAGAAGGAACGCCAACTGAAGCAATTTGCAGGGAACAACTTCGTTCACATACCTTCGTGTCTTGTCTTGCTTATCTTATCAGCTTCCTGCAAATTGTTTCTGACCATTCTGCCAACCACAGTAAACTTTCAGTATTATTCTTTGAATTCTTGGCGGCTATTAATGCAGTTAATTAACAGCCATTGTTGTAAAAAACTGGTTTATTTAGTAAACTAAGGTTTGAACGGACTTTGTGTGTGCTGCGTTCTCTGGGGTCCGTAGCTGGGGCAGAACAACCATTAAGATGGCTAGAATTTAAACTCTTCTTGAGCATCATTGAAACTTCTTGACTGTTATGCTGAAGTCTGTGGAATGAGATGGAACTCTAGCAGCACCTAAGATCTCTTGCGGATGAATACCGACTGATAAACTTTCTCTGAAATCCAGCAAGAAGTTTAGAAATCCATTTGCCAGGGCTAAGTTCTCCCAAACAATTAGCAAACAGGTTACCACAGAGGCCCAGACAGCATTTCCATTGCAGTTTTAAGCAGGAGAAAAAAGTTTCAGTCTTTTTACCTCCCTACTCCATAGATCTACTAAAAATAGAAATATGTCAAATAAATAAGAGAAATATCTCAGGTCTTCTGTGTATGCTAGATGATGTGGGCAAAGAGAAGGATGGAGACCACCAGTCAGGGAGAATGTCATGGCTGCATCTGTCCTATCCAAGCTTCAGGAGCTGGCAGCCTGACATTAGCAATGGGGTGGGGTGGGGGGAGGGAGAGATTGGAAAGCAAGGAAGAAGTGGGGAGTGGCGGAAGCCAGTGCTGAAATCTGAATCGGTTTACTACCAGTTTGCTGGCCGCGCATGTGTGCCATGCGCCAAACGCACACTGGGCATGCACATGCACAGTGCACACCAAACGGGAGCTGCATGTGCGCAACCTGCAGTGTGCGCCAAAAGGAGGCTTGGGAAGGTAAGTAGAACAGGGGGGAGGGTGATCAGCTGTGGCACGCATGGGAACCTTTTAAAAAACTTTTTAAAAGCATTTTTTACTACCAGCTCGGGCAAATAGGTAGTAAAAAATGCATTAAAAAAGTAAAAAAAAAAAAGGTTCCGAGAATTGCGCAGCACAGCTGTAATCGTTGGAGCCTTTTTTTTAAAAAAACTTTTTAAAAGCATTTTTTTACTACCTATTCGCCGGAACCGGTAGTAAAAAAATGCTTTTAAAAGGTTAAAAAAAAAGGCTCCAACAATCACAGCTGTGCTGCGCAATTCTCGGAACCTTTTTTTTAACCTTTTAAAGGCATTTTTTTACTACCGGCTCTGGCAAATAGGTAGTAAAAAATGCTTTAAAAAAGTTTTTTTAAAAAACGGCTCTGGGGATTGCACGGCACAACTGTGATTGTCAGAGCCTTTTTTTTACTTTTTTAAAGCATTTTTTACTACCTATTTGCCAGAACCAGTAGTAAAAAAATGCCTAAAAAGTTAAAAAAAAAAAAGTTTTGACGATCTGCTGAGCAACACGTGATTGTCGGAACTTTTTTTTTTTTTTTACTTTTTAAAGCATTTTTAACTACCGGTTCTGGAAAAGCTGTAGTAAAAATATGCTAAAAAAGTTTAAAACAAAAACAAAAACGTTCCAACAATTGCGCATCACTCAGCTGATTGTCGGTGATTTTTTTTACATTTTTTACTACTGTTTTGGGCAAACTAGCCAGAACTGGTAGCATTTCACCTCTGGTGGAAGCCCGACTACACCTTGTGAGAAGCTTCAGCCAGCCAAGGTCAACTATTGATATGCAGAGCTGGGAACCATAAACCTGTTTCCTAAACAATATACAAGCACCTAGCTGGACATTTACAGATAACTGAGGGATGTCTGGGCTGTGGGGGGGAGAGGAAAATTTACTTTGTATTGTTTGCACGCGAAAACCTCAGATTCAGCTTACGCTAATTCTGTACCCACTTAAGCTTCAATAAAGTTATACTCTTGGCAAAAACCAGTGGCCAGGTGTCTTTCTTTGCTAGATGACAGAGTGGGACAGTCAACAGACAGACAGATTGTCGATGGCATGAGCCGAGGTGGCGCAGTGGTTAGAGTGCAGTACTGCAGCTACTTCAGCTGACTGCTAGTTCAGCAGATCAGCGGATCAAATCTCACCAGCTCAAGGTTGACTCGGCCTTCCATCCTTCTGAGGACCCAGATTGTTGGGGGCAATATGCTATTTAGTATACTGTCTTTGGTGTAAGCCGCCCAGAGTCCTCGGAGAGTGAGCGGCATAGAAATATGACTAATAAAATAATAAATAAATAAAATAAATTTAGCAAGCAAAGCCTTTCAACTTTCCTTAGCCTTAGCTAACACATGTTTCTTCTATGTTCATTTCATTTTTTCTCTAAGAATTCTTCTTCTGCTTGCCACTCTTGAGGGCTTTCACTTCCTGCTCTTATATGTACCTGCACCACCAGGTTGCACAAACCTGTGAGCTGACTCTCTATGCCTTACTCAACCTAGCACTCTCCACATTTGTTGGACTACAATTCTCATCAAACCCAATGGCTAAGGGTGAATCAGAAAAGGATGCACAGGAATTGCAACTGCCTCTGATTCAGTGAGTGCAGAGGGAGAATTCCACTTCAAACAAATGTTCCTGAGACTTTTGCTGAAATGTGCAAATCTAGTCCTCCTACAAGGGATGTTTTCTTCTCGTTCCACATTAGGGGTGTAGAAGGAAAGTAAGTCTCAAAGGTGCTTTTTCAAAAGGCAAAGTAATTTCTGAATAGCTTCAGTGGCACAACAAAAAGGTTGCATGCTATAAATCAGACACATGGCCCAGAAGACAGCTCATCGCTAGTATAAACCCTAGTACATCATTGTTCTTTGAAATTTAAATAGCCAATTTAATGAGAAATGAACCAAAGTAGTGTTTTACGAAAGAAGTCATAAAGTCATGAATAAATCTTTGGCTTCCTGGTGCTGAACTCAGAATTCCTCAAGCAGGACAGAGTTGAAGTTTCTAGTCATATTTTTTTGTCACATTTGAAAAAAAAGGACACTGTTAAGAGAAGTGTCAGATTGAAATATGAAATGTTTGCAGTAGAAATTAGAAATAAAAACTGAGCAAACATCACCACAATTTAATAGCCAGTTGCACAGTGGAGGCTTCAGCCAAGACTAATTTTAGATAAGTTTACTTAAACATTTGGAACAGCTGGTGCTAGACCTATTTTTAAAAGAATTTTAAAAGGTAAAGTTATTTGAACAGCTGACATAGGGGTACAGCAGATGGTCCCCTGATCTAGGTGAGTCCCAGTTGGCTGAACATGCAGTCAACTGATTTAATCATGTCTTTAAGAAATGAGTCAGGAGAGAAAAGGAACAGAGAGAAGAAGGGGAAAGAAAAAGAAGAAAAAGGAGGAGGAGGAGCGGAAGGAAGGAAGGAAGGAAGGAAGGAAGGAAGGAAGGAGGGGGAAGAGAGAGAGTTTTATGATCAAGGTGTAGGAAGTTAGCACCCACCCCTTTTCTAAAGAATGAAATATTTTGGGAAATATTAAAAAGGCAGAATATTATGTTTCCCTGTATGACAAATGGAGAAACATGTTTTAAAAGACAAGCAGCTTCCTGTCTCCCCTCCTCCCACACCTTTGTTAATGGGCCATAATCTGCAACCCAATAGGGCCCATCTAGGACAGAAACTCACCACATGGCACCTGGGAAGATTACATCAGCCAGCAAGGCTAGCTAAGACCCCCACCCCTTGAGAGTCTGACAACCAATCAGGATACTCTTTCGGGGCCCCAGGAAGTTCAAAGCCAGAGAGAGCATAAAACCTGGGGACTCGCTGTATCTCGTCCCTTTTTCTGTTCAGGAACTCAAGCCATGTGATCCTGTCCACCATTAAACCATCTTTCCAAGCAGTCTCCATGTTTCCAGTGTCTTTTTCCCCACTTGGAGCTGAACCCAGAAAGATATTTCTTCCAACAAAGGCAAGGAGAACATGAACTGAAGCAAGATTCTGTGGAGTTTTTAATGCAATGATAGTGGAGACCAAAGGAGCCAGGTAGGGAGCTTCTAGACCACCTGCTGTTGCTGACTCTTGACCATGTCTGGTGGAAATCCAATTGTTTTCACCATTAGGAAATTTCTCCTTAGTTCTAGGTTGCTTCTCTCCTTGATTAGTTTCCATCTATTGTTTCTTGTCTTGCCTTCTCAT